CACTGTTCTCCTCATAGAGCCCAGCCTCTCGGATAATCTGCGCTGCATACAGGTTGAAAAGGTATGGAGACAGGACACATCCCTGGCGTACACCCTTCCCAATTTTGAAACATGCAGTGTTGCCCTGCTCTGTTCTGACGACTGCCTCTTGGTCCAAGTATAGGTTTTGCACTAGCACGATTAAAGATAACAAATTTAAAAAAAACCATTATTTTACAGCAAAGCCACTTAAGGAATATTATGTTTCCATATTCTCTACACTTCCTAGAATATAGGACTGTGCATATAATACAGGCCATTATTAAATATTTATTTTGCCAGTCAAGCAGAGAGCATTTAAGGGAAAGTGTAGAGAAAATTTAATCAACAGTAAGTATAGAATTCTAAGTTTCACACCAGACCACACTAAATTGTTAGTATGACTTATGATTTGTAGACTGAGTCAGGTTTTCCGGTCTGTAGCAATGGAGCGTTTTCTTTCCACATCAGTTTTTTGAAATGTGTATAGAGATGTATATTGTCCAGATTGCAGTTTCAGTGGAAATTCTAATAAATAGTATGAATTGTTACTTAATTTGTCTAGTCCACTGATTGTCTGTGGTTTGGAAAGTGAATCACACCATGGACTGTCTCCAATACCCTGAATAAGCAAACTATTTCTTTGATTTTTCAGGAAATTTACTTTGGGGATTAATAATTGGCCTTACATAAAGCCACATAATATAGTATTTTTAAAAAGATATTGCAAGGCATATGAACTAGACATTCTTCCTCAAATCTGGATAACTACCAGTGGTCTACTTTGTCTTAGTTCTTAGAAAATCTTACTTTGTGCATATAATGAAACCATATATAGGAACCCAACCATTAGATAATGTGAAAAGAAGAGCTTCCTGCTTTTTAATCTTTTCTTTTCCCATTAAGAAGAAACATTAGGAAAAATCCTTCCCAAATTTTTGGTCCCTACCACTTGAATGCTCACACTTACTCTATAATCATAGGAACGTCTTGGATCCTCATCACAGTTAATCACTTCAGGGGCCATCCAGTATGGTGTTCCAATGAAACTGTTTCTCCTCCCATTGGTTCTGCTCACCTGCGCACTCACTCCAAAATCCACTGCAAAATTCAGCATATGTAGAAATAATTAATCAGTAACGAAAAGCTTGATAAACTATTGCTTTAACTTGGAAAGCCAATACAAAAGGCCACAATGGGTAACAGATTTTTATTCCAGCCCAGCAAACTTTACCAATGAAGTCTACTACAGGAATCCTGGGATAGAGGCTTATGTTGCTATTTATGTTGGAAAAGATTCAGTGTGCTATTATAAATCAATGATAGGTTTGGCTGAATGTTTACCATGAATATTAAAAATAAAGCTCCATCAGCACACCCTGAACCTCTGAAGTGATAACATATGTAGTGTTTGGATCTGCCAACAAACTGGAGGAGGAATAGCACTAGAAGAAACATCTAAGAAATTAAAAACTTAGTAACACATGACTGGGAAGTAACACTACAAAGGTCTATCACATTCATTAAGAAAAATGAATTTTCTGCTAGATTTGGTGTAAGTTCTTTTACAGATCCTTGAATTCATTACAAAAATAAATATTTCAGTGACTTTTCACTTACTTCCAATTTTTCTTCTGTGCTGCAAATGGTTGAGGTGGCTGATAATTTGACCCAAGTATGTGGAAATGTTGCTCTATATGAGAATATAGTATTTAGTCTTGTAGTAGATTATTTATTCTGTACATTTGAATGTGAAATTTATGTGACCTTCAGGTAAGATAGTATTTCTACTTTTGTAGCATTTAGATACAAAATAGAGAATGTATTTTCTAGAAATTAGTTTTTGCTTATTTCAAGAAGAATTACTACCTAATACTTCTTCCACAAATAATCTATGAACAGAAAAAATGCGTTCACTCTGATTCTGCTTGTTTAGCAGTGAAATAGGAAATATCTCAAGGTCATGCTGAGAAATGTTGGGCAAAAATTTGCATTGTTGTTGGTAGGTGCAGTAGAGTTGAGTATGACTCGTAGTGACCCTCTGAACAAAAGATCTGAATCCTGTTCTGTCCTGTACCATCCTCACATTTCCTGACACACAAGAGTCCATTGTTGTAGTCACCATGTCCATCAAACTGGTCGAGGGTCTTCCTCTCATTCGTTGACCCTCCACCCTTCCAAGTACCATGTCCCTCTCCAAGGAACAGTCCCTCCTAGAAACATGCCCAAAGTATGTGAGGCTTTAAAAAGAATAAATACAGAATTAATACCAATGATTTTGTGCTATATCAATAGAGTTATGTAGCTACTACTGCCATAATTCATATGCTATTCTTGAAAAGCTTTTATTTAAAATCTGTATTTTGCTGATTTAAAATGTCAAAGGATGCAATATATTCTTCTCTGGTGCTATGCCAACAATGAATGCTTTTAATTTCAAATACATTATATGACTCTGAACTTGAGTAAAAAGCCTGAGACTTTCCGATATTTTCTTAATCTGAGTTTGACCTGTATATTATTAGAATATCCTTTTTTATAAATATAATTTATTTGTGATCCTGTAAGTCTCATTACTAATTGTCATTGATTTAGAATTGACTCATAGATGACCCTCCAGCTAGTTTTTGAAGGCTGTAAACTGCATAGGAGGAGATTGCCTATCTTTATCCTATGGAGTGGCTGGCTGGTGGACTTGACAGAGAAGTGCAACCTTTATGAGTTCACTTATGATCATATAGAACAGAGCAAAACTTCCCTATATGGTTTCCTAGGCTGTGATTTTGTGAGTATAGATATCTGAGTCCTTTCTTTCTGTGCATATTTAAATATGTAAGAAGAAAGTCCCAGGGCAAGAATTAATTCTTATGTAGTTTACAAACTCTGTGGGAAAACACATTCTGGGCTCTGTGACAGAGCATTTTTTTAAAGGCTGTTAAAGATTTCTGCCCCGTGCACAAAAACTCATACTTAAGTATATGCTCAATAAAAAGCAAAGTAATGACTGAAAAATTGAGGGAATTCCCATTATAATAAAAAAGCTGTTTTATCTACATTATTCCAAGGGGGCAAATATGTACATTTTCTTCTATTTGCCTCATCTCCCATTCCGGACAAAGTTCCAACTGTTAAAATGGCATTGCAGGCAGACTTAGTAAATAGAAAATACTGGCAGAAGAATGACAGAATAATCTGCATATTAAAAGCATTAAGATATTCTGTGCCCCATTTAAGGTATTGTAAGAATAAACTTACCCAGTTTGACTTCAGCATTATTAGTCAGGAGCACATTCTGACCTTTGATGTCTCGGTGAATTACTCGATGTGCATGAAGGTGAGCTAAGCCCTGTACATAAGCACATATATTTAAAAAGCCACATCAGCATATGTTTTACCTGTCTTCTGGTTCTGTTCTTAGTACTTTTGAAGTAAACTTTTTGTGTGTGTTTTTTAAATAAAGGCAAGATTTTATTTTACAGATGAAATTATTTCTTTAGGCTGGGATCACTATGATAAGTTCCAAGAAATACTACTTTTGGCTAAACAGCAAGGAAAATAAATCAGGACACTCTTGAAAGAAAAAGAACAACTCCCTTTCTAGCCTCCATATTTAGAATTAACTGTAAGAGTAAAGAACCACACATCTTAAAATATCCTAACTCAGCCTTTATGTACTATTCTTTATCCAATTATTTATTTAGTCCAAGATATTTTCTAGTCAGACTTGCAGGCTGAGGATTTGGGAGTAGATGGAAAATCATTTTAAAGCATTTGTAATTTGTATTGGCTAACCACACCGGCCCCAGCCCAATCACCACTACAGCTCACCAGTGACCTATGTTATGTTAAGATGCAGTGAAATTTTTCCAGATATAGCCATTCTATAGGGCAGAGTAGAACTGTCCCATAGGTTTTACTAAGGAAAAAGCTCTACAGGAACAAATAGCCTGGTCTTTTATCTTGTGGACGAACTGGTAGGAATCAACTCCTGTCTTTTTGTTAGCAGTTGAGCACTTAACCATTGCACTAGAAGGGATTCTTGATTAAAAAATTTTTCTAGTTGCTGTGTAGGCACCTCCGCCTCATAGCAAACCTATATACAAAAGATCTAAACCTTGTCTGATCCTGCGCAATTCTCACAATCCTCATCCTCAATAGTGGTAGTAGCAATAGTAAGTAATTTTAATAATGATAATGGTGGTATAAACAACTAACACTTATTGAATCATTATTCTTTAACAAGAACTCTGTCAAATGCTTTACATGGGATAAATTAATTCCTCGCCGTAACAGTTTGCAGATGGTGCTAGTACATACCATATTAAAAACAAGGTAAGTGAAATTTGGAAAAATTAAGTAACTGATACAAAAATACACAGTGAAACTAGAATTCAAATTCTGTCTGGAGTTAAAACTCTTATTACTATTATACCGTTATCACAAGTGAATCCAACTAAGATGAGAGGAAAGACATTCTAACACTGTGGGTCTAGCCATTAAGTTCTGTTAATATTTTTCTTGGCAAGCCATTTCAAGCAGAAAAAAAAAATCAGCCTGAAAACCCAACAAAACAACAAAAATTTGAGTTTGTTAGAGCAAACTTGTTAGAGCAAATTTTTGCTCTTATCAGTTTGAAGTTAAAGTGATGAAATAAAATAATATGGTAGTATTCAATAGAGATTATCTTCAAAAAGACTGCAGATGCTATTTGGCTTTTCTGTAAATTGTGGACATTTTTGGTCATCTTAAGCTTCAATGATAGTGTGATACACCCATTTATCATTTACTAATATAGCTAGATCCTAAAGGCCAATTAATTTTGTGAAAATTGCCATTATGTAAAAATTGAAGCAGACCACATCAGATCACAAAATGGAGGATGACTATACCATTACATAACTGCCAAAAGGCATCATTCTATAACTGCCAAATTTATCATTTTATAACTATCAAACCACTGATAGTCACAGAAAAACCTAGTTGACACACAACTTCAACTATCACAATCAGTGTTACACTATCAATCACACATCTTTATGTTCCTTACTGTCCAGTTGGATGATTGTTGTTATTGTTATGTGTCATTGAGTTGCCTGCGACTCATAGTGACCCATACAAGAGCCCTAAACCCTGCTCTATTCCTTGCCAATCTTATTGTATTGGACACACCTATCCCCATCACCCCAGTAACTGAATCAATCCATCTCATCCATGGTCTTCCTCTCTTGCGCTGTCCCTTCACCCTCTTCAAGGACTGATCTCGCCTTGCAACATTTCCAAAGCATGTGCGATGAAGCTTTAGAATCCTTACTTCTAAGGAGCAGCCTGGCTTCACCCTCTCCAGGACAAACTTGTTTGTTTTCCTAACAGTCTATGGTACCCTCAATACTCTTCTCCAGCACCAAAGCTCAAAGGTATCAACTCTTCTTCTATCATCCCTAGTCATTGTCCAGCTCTCTGTTGCATAGCAAGTAATTGTAAAGACCATGGCCTGGATCAGGCTCATCTTGGTCTCCAGACTCACACTGCTGCTCTTCACTACTTTGAAGAGGTTTCTGACAGGAGACTTTCCCAATTTTAATTTCCTGGCTACTGGTAGGTACCAAGAGTGTTGATTGTGGAGCCAAGCAAACTGAAGCTGTCAGCAATCTCAATCTCTTCACCATCTATCATGATGCTGCCAATCAGCCGAGTCAGTGAGAATCTTTGTTTTCTTGATATTGAGCTTCAGTCCATATTGAAGGCTGCAGTCCTTGACCTTCTGAAGCAAGGACCTCAGGTCCTCTTCAGTTTCAGCAGGCAGGATTTTCATCTGCATAATGCAGATTGTTGATGAGTCTACCTCAAATCCTGATGCCACACTTCTCCTCATAGAGCCAAGCCTCCTGGAAAATGTGTTTCGCATATAGAGATAGGACACATCCTTGACTCACGCCCTTCCCAGTTTTGAACCATGCAGTGTTTCCTTGCTCTGTTCTGACAACTGCCTCCTGGTGCAAGCATAGGTTTTGTATAAGCACAGTCAAATGTTCTGGGATTCCCATTCTTCTCAGAGTCAGCCAGTTTGTTGTGATCCACACAGTCAAAAGCATTTGCATAGTCAATGAAACACAGGTAGATAGTCCTCTGGTTTCAGCCCAGATCCATCTAACAATAGCTGTAACATCCCTAGTACCATGGTCTCTTTTAAACCCAGTCTGCACTTCAGGCAGTTCTCTGCTCATGTGCTGCTCCAGTCGTTTTTGGATAATCTTCAGCAGAATCTTGTTTGCATGTGCTATCAAGGACATTGATAATTTCCGCACTATGTTGGGTCACCTTTCTTTGGAATTGGAACAAATATAGATCTCTTCCAGGAAGCTGGCCAGGTGGTTGTCCTTCAGATTTCTTGGCACAACTTTGTGAGCACATCCAGGGCAGTGTACATTTGTTGAAATATGTCAGTCAGTATGCTATTACTTCCTGGGGCCTTATTTTTTGCCAATTTTCTCAGAGCAGCTTGAACTTCTTCCTTCATCACCGCAGGTTCTTGCTCATACGTTCTTTCATGAAATTCTTTTGTGTCTACCAATTCCTTTCGGTATAATGACTATATATTCTTTCCATCTTGTTTTAATGTTTCCTGGATGATTTAATATTATGCCCAAAGCATCCTTAAATATTGAAACTTGAGATTTGAATTTGTTGTTCAGTTCCTTCAGCTGAAGAAATGCTGAGCGAGTTCGGCATTTTTGATTTTCTGATCCCAGCTCCTTGCACATTTCATTGTAATACTTTACTTTGTCTTCCTGTGGCTGCCCTCTGGAACCTTCTTTTCAGTTCCTTACTATCTTGGTTTCTTCCCTCTAGTGCAATATTTAGAGTTGCTTCTGACAACCATCTTGGTCTTTTTTTTCTTCTCTGTCTTTGTAATGACCTTTTGCATTCTTTCTGGATGATATTCTTGATATCCTCCCACAGCTTATCCAGTCTTTGCTCATTAATCTCCAAGGCCTCAAACCTGTTCCTGAGATGGTTTTGAAATTCATATGGTTGTTGTTGTTAGGTGCCATCGAGTTTTAGACAACTCATAGAGACTGTATGAGCGAAAGGCCTGAGCACTGTTCATAGAGTTTCCTGAGGCAAGCCATTTCAGAAGTGGATGCCACTCCTGCTTCCAGGCTTGCTTTAATTGGGAAGCTCCAGCAAATACTGTCCACCATGGGTAACCATTACCACGTTTGGCACATCAGTGTCACAGTGTTCAGCATCACAGCAATCATGAGTTACCTCTGTACAGCAACACACAGACCAGTGCTATACCACCTAGAAAAATTTTTGACAGAAAAGCAATTTGAACCAGGCCTGAGGGACGCAGATGAAAATCACCCACCTTGGTCTCGGTAGCATAACTTTCTGTCCATTAGGCCAACGTAGCATTCATATGGTAGATTTTAAATACATTGCTGTAAGTTCAAAACGTTGGATAACAGAATAGTTGAGTAGATTAACTATGTTAAAAAAAAAAGGACTCTAAGGGAGTTCTTGTGGCCTAGTGGCAAGAAGCTGCACTGCAATCCCCAAGGTGCACAGTTTGAATCCACTAGATGCTCCGTTTGAGAAGGAGCAGCAATCTCCTTTTAGTCCAATTCAGTATGACCAGCTACAACAACCATGTTGCATAATTATAACCAATATTGTTACTTATAAAAGCAGTTTAAATTTTTCATCTCCTAAAGGGAAACACACTGATTCCTAAGCATTACCTTTTAGTCTTGAATTCCTTCAGTTATGGGAAAATGATTTTATAAAGATTTACCTGAAGGATTTCTCTGCATATGTAAGCAATCCAATCTTCTTTTAAACGCTGATTTCTGGTCATCCTCACTACATCAGTGAGTGAGCCTGCTGCACATAACTCCATCACCATCTGCAGAGAAGCCAGCAGAGTATCAAGAATTTGAAAGTAATTATCAGAAAATATCTGGTGATACTTAGTCCATTTGGTTAATAATATTTATTGATTAAGACACTGCAAAGACTTGCTCAATTGTCTACTGGAAGACTCCAAAAGCTCCTGAAATGAGAAAAATCTGGATAAGATTCCAAGATTTGTGCAAAGATGGAAGTTAGTACCACAATAGGGTTATATAATTAGAAGATGGGACATAAGCTAAATCTACAAGGTTAGATCTTGTTTGTATATATTGAAAGAAAAGTGAAGACCATTCATTTTATGGAAAAGCCCAATGAACAAATGCATTTAGAAAGAAATCTGTGTGCACTGTACAAGACTCAGTGATGACTGTAGTTTAATGGGAAGATTATTGAGGCAACAGTTAGATTGGGTTGAAGATACAGATTATTGAGAACCTTGAAAGAGTTTATACTTCTATGTTGAAAATATATTTGTGTGTGTGTGTGTGTGTGTGTGTGTGTGTGTGTGTGTTTTAGGAGATGATTTTATTTTCAAATCCAGATTATTTTTCTCCAAGACCCTGGTAAATTACAACTCCAAGACCCCGACAAATTACAACTCCAAGAGAGTAACTGTAAACTTTAGTTCTTTCTGAGACTGATGACTGCTAAGGCAACTTTATATTAAGGCTATTATTCTTTTTATAATTTTTTTAAAAATCTTATGTTGATATTTACTTTGAGATTTGAAATGTGATGAACCGAAGAAGTTAGTGATTTTTCTGATGCGCATTTCATTGAAGTTCTCTTTACCCAAAACAGATAATACAAAGCAATAGTTAGGATTTCTTGTTTGGGTCCAAGTGTTTATCATTTGGATACATTTCTACTGTTCCATTTCTAGTAATACTTATCCATAATTTTCATCTGAATATATTTGTACTCAGCTAAAATACATTATTTCCTTTCCTTTTGTGCAATAAAGTATTATCATTCAATTAAATATTTGCAAAAGAATTGTAATCTGAAGTAGTTAATTAAGAGTATTTCTCCTTTATTCTTGACAGGAGAAAGCTCTGGTGACCTAGTGGTAAGAAGTTGCATTGCCAACTCAAAAAACAAGTAGTTTTAATGCACTAGATGTTCTACAGGAGAAAGATGGTCAACCTTATTCTATACATTTGAAAGCCTCTGAAAATCCTATGGAGGGTCAGCTATGAATCATTTCTGATTTAACATCTCTCTCTCTCTCTCTCTCTCACACACACACACATTCTTGACAGAAAGAACCTTGATGGTACAGTGAATAAGTGTCCAGTTGCTAGTCAAAAGGTCAGCAATTTAAACTCATCAATTTCTGCAGAAAAAAAAAGTGTAGCAATCTGCTTCTGTGAAGATTACTGCCTTTAAAGTTCAAAAAATTCAAATTCTTGGGTATCCTTTCCAAATCTGTTGAATTGGAAAAATTTCCCCAATACTCTGTAAGTCATCAGACTTTTCAGGCAATTCTGACTCAAGCTAAAGTTTGAGAATGAATACTTTATTCAACCCTTTGTTGAAAAACTTTCTATGATATTCACTGTCCTCTTTCCAAAATCCCAGTATTTATGATTTAACTGAAAATTTCTTTAACATTTAAAGATTTTTAAAGGTTTAAATTATTATCCTGAAAATAAATTACTATTATTGGCTTGACTAGAAATAGAAATACAGAGATTCTGTATACAATGATCCCGGTTTGTTTTAAATATTTTTAAAATAAAAAAAATATCCTGGATTTAAGCTTATTTTCTTATGATTTGTCTATTTTTCTTATAGTAGAAGGCAGTAACATTTCTTGATAATTGTGGTATAGTGTGGGTTCATCAAACTTTTCTATAATTTATATCTCATTGGTGCAGAGTTCATTATACATCAGGTATGAAAGCTAAAAAGAGCTTAAGTCAATCACTCATTGGGAGAAGGGATTCTAGGAGTTATGCTTTATCAGTATAGAGACTAGTTATGTTACAATATATCCATGTTCTCAGGCCAATTTTTAATAAGACTGATCCAGGTCAATCATTATTTACTAATCTATCAGATCATCTTCTTTTCCACATTCTTAACTGATCAGACAATGTGGTAGTCACATAAAGTTAAAAGCAGTAAGTACATATTTTAAAAGGAATATATTAGATTTTTTTTTGCTCCCTATTTTCAGGTACCAGAAAATATTTTGCCGTATTATACTGAGTAGTAGAGTGTTTAAATTTTCCTTCGGGTACACAAAAATGACATCTTGACTTTCCAATTCACATCTTGTTGTTGTTAGGTGCCCTCGAGTGGCCTGCAACTCATAGTGACCTGATGTATAACAGCCCCAAACCCAGCTCTATCCTGTGCCAATCTCACCATCTCTGACACACCTGCCCCCATTACCTCAGTCACTGAATCAATCCATCTCATCGAGGGTCTTCCTCTCCAGTGCTGTCCCTCCACCCTCCCAAGCATGACGTCCCTCTCCAAGGAATGGTCCCGCCTTGCAACATGTCCAAACTATGTCAGACGAAGCTTCAGAATCCTTGTCTCCAAGGAGCAGCCCCATTTAACCCTTTCTAGGATGAACCTGTTCATTTTCTTAGCAGTCCATGGTATATTCAATAGTCTTCTCCAACATCACAGCTCAAAGGCATCAATTCTCCTTCTATCATCCCTAGTCATTATCCATTTCTGATTCATAGCAAGTGATTACAAAGATCATGGACTGTAGCAGGTGCACCTTAGTCCCCAGAGTGACATCATTGTTCTTTAGTCCTTTGGAGAGGTCTCTAACAGCAGACTTTTCAATTGCAATACGTCTTTTGATTTCCTGGCTGCCGGTGTCAAGAGTGTTGACTGTGGAGCCAAGCAAACTAAAGCTGTAAACAATCTCAATCTCTTCACCATCCATACCGATGCTGCCATTTGGCCCAGTGGTGAGAATCTTTGTTTTCTTGATATTGAGCCTCAATCCATATTGAAGGCTACATTCCTTGACCTTCTGCAGCAAGCACTTCAGATCCTTCTCAGTTTCAGCAAGTAGGGTTGTGTCATCTGCATAACACAGATTGTTGATGAAACTTCCTTCAATCCTGATGCCACATTTCTCCTCATACAGTCCAGCTCCTGGATAACCTATTCTGCATATAGATAGAAAAGGTATGGGGATAGGACACATCTTTGACGCACACCCTTCCCAATTTTGAACCACGCAGTATTTCCCTGCTCTGTTCTGATGCCTGCCTCTTGGTATAGGTATAGGTTTCGCATTAGCATGATCAAGTTTCTGGGATTCCCATTCATTCCTCTTAGAGTTAGTCACAGTTTGTTGTGATCCACAGTCAAACGCCTTTGCATGATCAATGAAACACAGATAGACATTCCTCTGGTACTCTCTGCTTTCAGCCAAGATCCATCTAACATTAGCTACAATATCCCTAGTACTATGACCCTGTCTAAACCCAGCCTGCACTTCTGGCAGTTCTCTGTTGATGTGCTGTTCCAGTTGGTTTTGGATAATCTTCATCAGACTCTTACTTGCATACGATATTAATGATACTATTCTATAATTTACACATTCTTTTGGGTCACCTTTCTTTGGAATGGGAACGAATATAGATATTTTCCAGTCAGTTGGCCAAGTGGTTGTCCTCCAGATTTCTTGACAAAATTTGGTGAGCACATCTAGGCCAGCATCTGTTAGTTGAAATACATCAATTGGTATACCATGAATTCCTGGAGCTCTTGCTCATATGTTGTTTCATGAAATTCTTCTGTGTCTGCCAATATCTTTTAGTACAATGAGTCTGTATATTCTTTCCATCATCTTTTAATACTTCCTGGATCATTTAATATTTTGCCCCAAAGCATCCTTAAGTATTTCAACTTGAGGTTTGAGTTGTTCTTCCATTGCTTGAGCTTAAGAAACGCTGTGCGAGTTTGGCCTTTTGATTTTTTGACTCCAGATCCTTGCACATTTCATTGTAATACTTTATTTTCTCTTCTTGTGCTGCCTTTTGAAATCTTCTGTTAGGCTCTTTAGTATCTTGAATTCTTCCCTCTGCTTTGGCTTCTCTGCATTCTAGTGCATTATTCAGAGTCTCTTCTGACATCCATTTTGGTCTTTTCTTCCTCCTCCGCCTTTTTCACTCTTCCTGGATGATATTCTTGATATCCTCCCTTAACTCATTTGGTCTTGGCTCATTAGTGTTAAAGACCTCAAAACTGTTCCTGAGATGGTTTTGAAATTCAGATGGGATAGACTCAAGGTCATACTTTGTTTCCCGTGGATTTGATTTAATTTTCCTTAGCTTCAGCTTGAACTTGCTTATGAGTAGTTGGTGGTATGTTCCACAATCAGCACCTGGCATAGTTTTCACAGATAACGGTGAGGTTCTCCAGCGGCTCTTTCCACAGATGTAATCAATCTGATTCTTCTGCATACCATCAGGTGAAATCCATGTGTATAACTTGTGTCTATGTTTCTTATAAAATGTATTTGCAATGAATAAATTGTTGAATGTGCAAAATTCAATCATTCTATCTCCAGCTTCATTTCTGTCACCAAGTCCATGTTTTCCAACTACTGATCCTTCTTCTCTGTTCCCAACTTTTGCATTCTGGTCACGCATTATTATTAATGCATCTTGATTGCATGTTCGATCCATCTCTCATGGTAAAAGTTGTATTAATCTTCTATTTTCTCTTCTTTGGCTCTGGTTGTTGGTGCAGATATCTGAATGACAGTGGTATTCACTGGACTTTCTTGTATATGTATGGATATTATCCTGTTACTCACAATATTGCATTTCAAGACATATCTAGAAATGGCTTTTTTTTTAACTGTAAAAGCAACCCCATTTTTTCTTCACCTGATCATATGATCATCTGACTCAAAATGCTCCATGCCAGTTCATCTCATCTTGGCAATACCTAGTATTTCAATATTTATGCTTTCCATTTCTTCCTTAACAATATCTAATTTCCTTACATTCATGGTTCTCATGTTCCATGTTCCAATCACTAGTGCCTGTTTACAACTGTTCCTCTTCCTTTGGGTAATATTTTTTCTTTTTTATTAAGCAATAAAAGCAGAGTAATTAAATACATACCCAAAGTTGATGTCTGTGACCTGGAGGACTCAGTTTAAAAAATGCACCATAGAAGGCCACGATGTTCTTGTGGAAAGAGTACTTCTTTAGAAGGTTTAGTTCAGTTCTCAGATCCTCTTCCTCATCCTGTGGAATAAGTAAACAAGCTCTTAAGCTACACAATTAATGACTAAAGTTCATTGTCACTGAGTTGATTCTGACTCAGAGGAACCCTATAAAGAATTTCATGTGACAGACTGTAACAACTCTATAACGTTTTCAAAACTGTATTCTTTTCAGAAGTAGACTGTCATGGCTTTATTCCATGAAACAGTAGATAGGATGAAAGTTTTCAGTTAGCAACTGAGCACTTAACCATTGAACGATCAAAACTCCATTCAATGAGTCAAAGATAAAGTCATTCAAAATAATTGCTGCAAGTCGTAACTGACTCTCCAGTGGGTTTTCAGAAGTTTTCCATCACACAGGGTAAATTTTCTATCTTTCTTTGTGGAGCTACTTGTGGACTTGAACCACCAGAGAGATGTTGTCTTTGGTTAGCAGAACAGCTATCCATGGACAACACCATCTCTAAATAATAGGAGATCAAGAAATGACAACCTACAGCAGTTTATATTTTTTTAAGAAAAATCTTATCTTGACTTCTCAGTAAAAGAAGTTCAATAAATGGGAATTTTGTAGAAACTAGGCAAAATGGAAGAACTTGTAACTTGTTCTCAAAATATAGTCCTTGGATCCATAATTCTATATCTACATGAGTATTCTCAGTTTTTAGTAAGATATAAAGATCCTTATGAGAGGAATATGGACACATAAACAAGACAACATACAGGAATGAGATGATGCTGTAAGGTTAAGAACAGAGAAAACAGATTAAAGAGAAGTATGGACATGAAAAGTATGAAATTGTTAGATGACTTGATACCAAGAAGCTTCCTTTACTTTCTAGATTGAAAAGCTCATTACTTCAAGCATGAACAAGACACTCTGTAGGCTGTGCTCCAGACAGCTATATAGTTTCATTTGATCCTTTTTATAGATAGGGCAAATATTCTTCTGCTGTTTTGTCTGAGGATTCTTAAGACTAGAGAGGTAAGAAGACCACATTCCCAAGTATTTTCTTGGATAATAAATAGTTGTTGTGTGTCGTCAAGTCAGAAATGACCCATAGCTAACCCTCTAGAGGGCTTTCAGAGGCCATTAAATCATACAGGAGATTGCCCATCCTTCTAATTCAAACCATGTGCCTTCACCATTACAGCACAGCTCCTCCTCCTTCTTCTTTCTCTTTCTCCTTTTCTTCTTCTTCTTCTTCTTCTTCTTCTTCTTCTTCTTCTTCTTCTTCTTCTTCTTCTTCTTCTTCTTCTTCTTCTTCTTCTTCTTCTTCGTCCTC